TTATAAGTATTTTTAATTCATGTATTTTCAAAACATGTTTTGAAAAAATGTGCTTTTTAAAACGCGTATATAAATGAATAACTACGCATATAAGAATAAATAAATACGCATATAAGAATGATTAAATACGCATATAAGAATAAATAGACGCGCATATAAAAATGAATAACCCTGTAATAGGAAGAAATAAGAGATGTATTTCTCGGATAACTTTTTACGTTCACGTTATTATATTGTTGTATTTGGTATTTATTTTAATCAAGTCATGGAGTTGCATGCAACTATATTTTTATTTACTTCGTATAGTTTGAACTTTATGTTTATGATATTTGGTAGACTAAAGAAAATATTTAGAAGTCGTGGACTCTTTTTATGGAAAGTACTCTACAAAACCTATATTAGACCCCAATTAGAATTTGCTATCCAGGCTTGGTCACCACACAAGGAAAAAGACATTGCTGTTCTAGAGCAAGTGCAGCATAAAGCCACAAAAGCAATAACGGAAATAAAGCATTTGCAATATAAAGATAGACTCCGTCATCTCGACTTAACCACACTTAAAAAAAGGAGAGTTCGAGGTAATCTCATTCAACAATTTAAATTTGCAAAAGGTATTCGCCGAATCATTTTTAAGAACCCTTAAGTCTACGCAGTATCGATTTCTAAATACAATTTGCGTGGACATTACCTTAGACTTGAACCTCAAAATGTAAAAAATTGTGACGAAAGATTCAATTTCTTCACTAATCGCATCGTCAATGGATGGAATGCGCTACCTACAGACGCCATAAGTATTGAATCAGTTAACTCGTTTAAAGATAGTGTTGACAAATTGAAACTGATTATAGAAGAATGATCGGATACACGAGTGTCTTTTCTTTCAGCATGAAGTGCCCGGTTTTGCACTTTCTCATCAAAATATACACATGTAGTGTATTCATTTATTTTTTATATATAAAAAATATATTTCTGAAATATATAAACTCAAACTCATATTTATATTTGTATATCTTTATTTTACTAATAAATTTTAATAATATTGATTTAATCTTAAATTGCTTTAAAAAAACTATTAAAAAGAGTATTTTAAAGTATAAAAATTTAGTTACTGATTTTTTCTCAATTTATTCTCTGCAAGCTTCTTAAATAGTTTCTTTTTTTTAATTATGTATAAATATATTTTTAACATTGCATTACTAATAAATGTGTAAGGGATCGCCCTTAAAGTACGTACGCAGGGATGGAGGACCCAAAATTCCTTGTCACTTAGATCATTATAAGTGCTTACTGTAAAATTCCTAAATCTTCCTTTTTTAGCTAGAAAAGATCAAAATTAAATAACTGAAGTATAATTTTTATTCATAAATAATCTCATTATTATCATTAACTGACAGTATAATTCTATTAACTCACAAATATATCTGATTGTATATTATCATATAGAAAGCTTTAAATTTTCATAAATTCGTTTTGAGTTATTTTCTTTGTTACTTTTTTTCTCTCCTCTCTCGCTATCAATAGTATATTTTGACGCTGTTCTTCTTTTTGAGAATATTGAAAAAAATCATTTATTAATCTGATGTTTCTTTTAGCGCAGTCGTTAGTTAAACTAAGTCCTTTGACAAAATTTTCATGAAACACTATATGATTCAGTTTTCGAGAAGTTGGGATGAGAATGAACCCAATCTTTGACTTGATTTACGATTCCTAGGCGTATAAATATAAGCCATCAATCAGCAGTAACAAGGTCTAAAAGCTTGCTGTTTGGTAAGACTAAGACATGATTAGGTTTTTCCATATTTTTTTTTTCTGGCTCTGGAATTGGAAAGGAAATTAATGACTTCAAAATCTCATACTTGACATACATTTCCAAGTGAAAAATAACTAGTGAAAAAACAACTACTGCTGGAGGAAGATACCACGAATGTTTATAAAAATATTTAATCAAAGCATTGCAACATCGGCATTAAATTCATCCTTGATAACATATGCTGCTTTAAATGCATTAAAATCATTAAGTACAGTATGTTAAGTGCTTCTAGACTTGAGGTATCAAGGAGCATAACAAACAGCAACAATAAAGACACATGTTTTAATTTCATTTTTATTTTTATCAGGTAAAAAGGTTATAATAGTGGATATCATTTCTAGTACTACTAGTGTAAGAATATCAGCCATGAATCTTGCTTCGTGACAAGCTCCAGGTTGATGAATTTTAAATTCATTAAGCTTATTAGATTCGACGCCAAGATAAAAAGCCAAATATTTTACAAGGTGATTATAGTCATTTCTTGGAAAAATTTTATTCTCCAACGAATACTTCGCATAATCTTTAGCTGCTATCGCCAGGATGTAAAGCCTGCGACCTATTTCCAGCTTGTTCCAGCTGATTTTATTTTTGCTTTTATGTTTTTTTGAGAAATATCAAACAAGTTTTCAAGAAATTCTTCAAACTGATTTTCGTGTTTTTTTTTTGGTAAGTGTGTTTCAGGCTAAATAACGTATTTCGCTTAAAATTTTGCATTGAAATGTAGGGGAGACCGGGGCTAGTTGGCCGCAGGGGTAAGTTGACGAATTGCGTTTATCTTTAAAGCCTTTCATCAGAAAGTGATAAAAATTACACAGAATCTTCCTAATTGACTGTTTCATCATTCAATGTAGTATTGTCAGGATTCGCGCATGCGCATGGGAGATATTAAGATTTAAGTGTTTTTTGGACAAAAACGTAACTTTTGAAACATCGCTTCCTTTTTACTTTACAAAGAAAATAGTTAGTCAAATGGAAAAAAAATTATTGTAAAAGTTCTAGCCACAATTGGTTTACTATATTCAGTTTGACTTTTTTTAAAAGTTGCCGTTTTTCAGGATCTATAGACTGTTTATTGAAAAAAAAGCCTTCGGGGTAAGTTGACAAAATTTTTACGGGGTAAGTTGGCTCATAGCATTTACTATGGAGAAAAATATTTATTTTTATAAAAATAATTTTTTTAATTTTTTTAATTTTTAACAATATTGAAAAAACTTATTCTTACAAAAAAATTATAAAATTTTTTTTTTTAGGTTTTTTGTAACAGGTAAAAAGAGGGCTGCTGTTTTGGCTGTTATACGTACTAATATTTAGCACAAGCTAAAAATAATATCAAATTATTAGCTTAAATTGTTGCCAAAATTAATAGGTAAAAAATTTCTATTAATTTTGCACTTAATAGTACATTAATAATCACGTTTATAGTTTGCGTCAACTTACCCCGTGGTGGGGTAAGTTGGCGCAATTTTTTTTTTTTTTTTTGAGGGCCCCGTAAGGCCCCAAGAATTTTTTTTTGTAAATCCATGAAACTTTTATAAGTTACCCAAGTTCATACGCTTTGAGACTACACTTTAATATTTTCAAAAAAGTGTGCTATTAGGGCTACAGAGCTCATAGAGTAAAAACCGAGCCAACTAGCCCCGGTCTCCCCTACAATTTATTTAGTTTAATAAACTTTTGCACAATTTTTACTTCAGAAATATATAGTTTCCAAAGCCAGCATATTTCCATATATTAATTTTTCTTAGGCAGCATATCTCCATATTTTCATAACAGAAATCTTTGTCAAGGCAAACCATATCCCTCTTTGTTTTGCATGAAAAATATTCTTGGGTAGACTTGAACCTTTAAATTTTTTCTGTAATAACATACTGATAATATTGTAGAACTGTTCCATTTGTTGGAAGTTGATGTTCAAGAAAAACAGAAATCGGACTTCTGAGAAGGTAAAGCGGTTGTCGTGGGTTTAAATTAACATTGTAGTTTGACTTTTTTATTTTAGTGATCTTTCTTTTCCCCATTTGCGATAAGAATTTGTTTTAAGTATTTATTTTTTTTATATTTTTTAAAAAGTAAATTACGCAAAAGATTTTTTTGTCAAAACTAACAATTTGATTAGTTGTTTTTTATCAGAAAAAAATGATGGGTTTAAGTTTGTTTACATTTTCTAAAAAGGTAATCAAGATTGCCGCTTTTAAAGTTTATATAATTTTAAAGTCGATATTTTAAAGTCAAATAAGATAAAGTTGGTATATTGGTAATAACTTAAAAATACCTGTTAGTCAAAATATATATATATATATATATATATATATATATATATATATACATACATATATATATATATATATATATATATATATATATATATATATATATATATATATATATATGTATATATATATATATATATATATATATATATATATATATATATATATATATATATATATATATATATATATGTACCCAAATTATCGATGTTTTAAAAACACAGTAATACATATTGTTTTTAAAATTTCCTAATACTTGGAACATTGATCAAGAAAAGTTTGTTAATATTCTACTAGTTAATCAGTTACCACCCATATCCTAATACAGTTTAAAAAAAAAAGATTACAAATGTTTTTTGAATTATGAAAAACAACAGCTATTAAATTTGTTAAAAGAGTAAATTTTCACTTAGATGCAGCCGAAATATTTAAGTTAGAAAACTCAGAACACTTAATAACATCCGATTTTTAACTTCTACAGTAAGCATTTAGAGTGGTCTTATAAATCTTTTTTCAATACTAGCGGTCTTCTATAAGTATATAGACAGAGAATTTGATGTGTACAATTTTTTTTCTTCATATTTTTGGGACACCCTACTGCTCAAGAAAATTTTTAACATTTACGAACAGGTTATTGGTCTCCTCGGACATATTTTTCATCATATAACTCAAATATTGCTTTCAAAGTCTAAGTTATTTTCAAATTTCTCAATTTGTTGGGAAACCACCTTAAATAGAATTGGAAGTTCTATTTAATACAGTTAAACACGTAGATAATTTGTATTTTATTGGTCAACATTACATACAGTTAATCTTACTTAATTCGAATTCCTATAAATTGAAAGAGTTTTTAAATCAAGCAAATTCTTTAATCCCATTATGATTTTCTAGTGAAACACGCACAAGAAAAATCGAACACGTTATTGGTCCCCGCGGACATATTTTTCATCATTTAACTCAAATAGTTTCCAAAGCCGGACTTTCTTTATTCAACTTTAATAATATAGTATCCAGAGATTCAAATTATAAAATAAAACTTCATTAAATTTAATTGTTTGGAACTATTGACTTGAGCGAATATTTATGATAATTTAAATAATATATAAATTTTTGATTGTTGAAAAAAATGTCAAAAAGAAGATATTTTGCTACATTGAAAGAGTCGAGTAGAAATTTACAAAATTTTACTTCTAAAAATAAAAATGTTTATAAAAATATATTGATTTTTTAATTAATAACATTTCTTAAAAATAATATTTTAATAAAATATATTTGAATACTTTAGCATAAATGACATAAATTTGAATGCAATTAGCTTACATGATTAGATATTTTACAGAAGTAAAGTCAGGAAAATTTTTTTTTTCTAAATTTGTAACGCATTCTTTAATGAAAAACAGAGTAAAGAATTCGGTTAAATGCTCACAAGTTGAAAAATCAACCCATTTCCGCATCTATGCGGCGGTCAAATTTTAGCATTACAAAATCTCGCGCAATTTCGTCATTAGTCCTTTGTGACAAAATGCGTAATATAGTCCATCCTGTATCGTTCATATAAAGTGATCTGCCCAATGCACACCACGAAGCAAACGAACCACGGTTACATATATTGCGAAGCGGTAATACCGTTACTCCAATCAAATGATTTTTACGCCCAAAACAATAATCTTTTGCAGAAATTTGTAGTTCATAACAAGAAAGTGGATCTTCGTTTCCTAGTTGACTAAAAACAAAGTAAATGAAAAAAATGAAAAACTCTTTCACAATTATAAAAGCCACTTGATTTAAAAAATAATTTGATTTAAAGGTTTTTTAGTTTTTTTTCAAAAGTACTGACCAAAGTCTTTTTTTTTTACGTTAAAGACCACAAATCTAATTACAATGATAACTTCCATGGCTGTCTCCAAAATAAAAAACTTCGCTATTTTGCGTTAAGCTCTAGCTCAGATAAACTATAAAACGTATGGACTGTCCTATTATTAAAACTATAAAACGTATGGACTGTCCTATTATTAGAATGATGAATTGAAATATCACAAAAATAATTAACTCGTTTTAAATTTAACACAAAATAAACAAAATAAACGCATTTGCCTTTAAATAATTTTTTATTATCTATTTATACAACTTTTTATTTACATTTTTATAACAAAAACAAAAATTATTTAAAAATTCTTTTAATCATTAAGTTTTTTTTCTTTTTAAATAAATACAATTAAATGGTATAGAGTTAATGATTTTTACAGAAAAAAAGTTTTAAATTCGGATTTGCAATAATAATAATAAAATTAAAATAAATATATAAAAAAATAATTTTTTTTTTCCTTCTTATAATGCTAAAAGCTATTTAAAATATATTAAAGCGCGTAATTTCCTCCTCTAAATATTCATAAAGATATTTGTGGATACAAATTAATAATAATAAAAAAAAGTGATATTGCCGGAACTTCAAACCTATTCAAAAATTTTCAATGATTTTTTTCTCTATTCAAAATATACCAAAGATTCCAAAGATAACGAAGCGTTTATAAAAAACAAAACAAAAACAAATTTTAGAAATCGGAGTCAAACAAATATATAATCAGTTGAAACAAAGATTCAAATGAAGTAAAAACGGTTTAACGAGACTAAACAATTTCAAAACGCTACTTTAAGAAAAATTAAAAAATTTTAACGAAATTTTTCAATAATAAAAGCTTAGTTTAAGCTATTTTTATGAAGAGTTGAAAAGTATCTCAACAGAAGTTTAAAAAACATTTTATTAATATCTTATACTATTATTGTTAACACGGATGTCAAAATGACGGATTATGTTTGTAACCTTAGTAAATAAAATCACAACTAAAAATATCAACCTGCAGACAGCAACATTCTGCAAATAGTCCGAATTTCAAAAACAAAATTAATAAGCTGCAAAGCGTACAAAAAAGTCAACAATACGTTGTACAATAATAATTGCCAGCTTACAATACGAGCCATAAGTTAAAACTTATAATGACCAACTCAGGTTTAGCAACGATGACCAACTCCAGTTTAGTTTTTCAAAGCAAGTTAAAATTAAAACAATGTTATGTTTTTGAAAAGTTATCACTTGTTACTAAAAAAAAATCTCAAAGAAAGAGTCAATCAACGAGAAGTTCCGACAATTTAACTAGTCATAATAAAATTGACGAAGAAATGAAAATAAGATTAACAAAACGCAGAGGAACAGTTTCAGGATGCCCTGGTAAGCAGATTGTTAAAAATGATTTATCGCTTGGCGAAACAACAGAAACGACCATAGACGAATTTGGAGTGAAAACCACATCATTTTGCAACACATACATATAGACGATCAGTCAAAAACCGACAGCGTCAACAGCCTTAAATGAAAAGCACATCATTTTGCAACGTATACATATAAACAATCAGTCAAAAACCGACAGCGTCAACAGCCTCAACATAACTTATAGAGGACTTTATCATGAGAAATATAAAATATCAAAATCATTAAACGAAATCGGTTTTGAAAAGGGTAATTCAAAATTAAAGACAAGCTATTCAAAGTTCTTAACAACCAAAGTTTATTAAAGCATTAAAGTGAGAAAAGACAATAACATAAATTGTTTCTGTTATTTAAACGTATTTAAATAGTAATATTAATAAATATTTAATTATTTAAATATATATTTAAATGTATCGACACATATTTTGAGTGATCATATTGATCAAATATAAAAACCTTTTAAAAACATGTTTAAAATAAAAAGATGTTTAAAATATAGTTAAAAAGAAAATGATATAACATTATCATTGTATGAAGTCCTCATTTTTTTTGTGACATCCTTAAACAAAATTAACAATTACCAACAAATACTTTCAATAACATTATTCACATTGAATTAATTAAATAACGTTAACTAATTAATTAACGTTAATTAACCCAATGTTAATTAATTAAAGTTAATTAACTAACATTGGGTTAATTAATTAACGCTATTATTATCGGGCGCAATTAACAATTACCAACAAATACTTTCAATAACGCTAAGTTTTAGCAGCAAATGAAAATTTTAACTTTTTTTTTTGCTAAATAATTACCTTTCAAAATAATAAAAGAAAGCAAAATACAAAATAAAAAACCAACAAATACTTTCAATAACATTATTCACATTGGATTAATTAAATAACGTTAACTAATTAATTAACGTTAATTAACCCAATGTTAATTAATTAACGTTTATTAACTAACATTGGGTTAGTTAATTAACGTTAATTAACTAACATTGGGTTAATTAATTAACGCTATTATTATCGGGCGCATTTAACAATTACCAACAAATACTTTCAATAACGCTACGTTTTAGCAGCGAATGAAAATTTTAACTCTCTTTTGCTAAATAATTACTTTTCAAAATAATGAAAAAAAGCAAAATACAAAATAAAATTTATTTAACCCTTGCAAAAAAATTTTTAATCTAATTTTTCTCTCCATTTTTTGTTATTATTGTAAACCAAATTTATTTAAAAATAACTTTATTCGCAAATAAACTTCCGAAGCTTACAGCTAAACTTATATTTTCATTTATGCCCTGACGTCAACATATTGATTGACGTCAACACATTTTATACCTCTAAAAAACATCTAAAATATGTAAGGCCATATTTTAATAAATAGGTTTTGAAAAATTAAACATTTTTTTTAAATATGATTTTACAAAGTTTTAGAAAGTAAGAAAATTAATGGTAACTATTAAATTTCTTACTCTTATTTGTTGATTAATCTTTTAAAACTAAAAAAATGACGAGAATTACTTATTTTAACACTACGAACATATATATCTGTATATATACTTTTCATATATCAACATATATCTGTATATATACTACGAACATATATCTGCATATATACTTTTCATAAATATATAGCTCAAGTGGTCATATCACGGTGCACCGTGAAATAGCATTTAATGAGAAAGTTTTATGATACCAGATGCCACTTTTAAGGCTGTTGCAGATATCAAAACACAGACTTTTTGATTTTGAAGATAGTCTATATATCAAAAAACTAACACTGATATTTAAAAATTAAATAATAAAAAAGGTGGACTAAACTAAAATGATTAAATGAAGAATTTGTAAAACCTTGTAAATAAGATATTTTATATATAAAATTTGTTTTAGCGTTTTTGATATGCATTATATCAGTATTATTGCTGTCAAACATATTTTGTTGTATCTTATTTTGTACATCTTACAAAAAACCAGATCAGTCAGTAAAAAAAATTTATTAACTAATCTGGTTTTAATGACTATTTGGAGTGGATGACAAATAGTCATCCACTCCAAATAGTCATCCACTCCATATAGTCATCCAATCCAAAATTTAAATACAAAGTCCTACTAATTAACTTTGTTTTGTAATAAAAATGGAACATGCATAACAATGTAGCATACTGCGTTGAGGTTTCAAGATTTATCACTGTAAACTTAATCAATTTTTCTTTTCTTATTCAATTATTTTAAAATGAAATATTTCTTGAAAATAGTAAAATGTTTTTCTTTATAAAAAGATAAAGGTTTATTGTTTTTATGAAATTAAACACAATTTGAAAATTTCTTTTACTTTTTTAATTAGATCAGGTTTAAAAGAAAAATCAAACCAACAGTTGCTGTTGATGCATTTAGCAACACCATATTAAGAGTCGCTGTTGATGCATTTACCAACATCACATCAAGAGTCACTGTTGATACATTTAGCAACATCACATCAAGAGTCACTGTTGATACATTTAGCAACATCACATCAAGAGTTGCTGTTGGTGCATTTAACAACATCACATCAAGAGTTGTTGTTGATACATTTAGCAACATCACATCAAGAGTCACTGTTGATGCATTTAACAACATCACATCAAGAGTCACTGTTGATCCATTTAGCAATATCACATCAAGAGTTGCAGTTAGTGCATTTAGCAACATCACATCAAGAGTTGCTGTTAATGCATTTAATAACATCACGTTTATGCATTTAGCAACATCAACAGTCATTTTTGATGTGTTTAACAACATCACATTTAACTGTAATTAATAAACATCATTATAATATAAATATTAGAAAGCTATTTACATTCAGGAATCGTTATTGCTGTCATTATAGATTTTGTTATTAACTCACTCATATCAAATAAAACTCATTGAGCTTTATGAACAACCTTTTACTGAAATGACAATTTTTAATACAGAATGCTATTAATCTGTTTCTTTATTATGATTTATTATTGTTTCTTTATTATGATTTATTATTGTTTCTTTATCATGATTAATATAGGTTTTAAGTAAAAAAAAAATTGTCTAAAAAAAAACAAAAGTAAAGAAGCGTATAAAAATGCAATCACTAGAATTCAAAAACTTACAAGTTCATTATCTCGTTAAATTTAGGAGACCAGTTATTGTTCTTTGACCTTGTAGAATTCCTTTTAGTTTTATCTGTCAGATGAGGGCCAAGTATGTTAACTTCTATAAAAGGTCGAAACACACCTAAATCAACCAAAAAAAAAAACCAAGTTATTCAAAACTAAAAAAAAAATACAAATATTTAATTAAGAATAATTATTAATTAATCAATTATGATAACTGTTGATAAAAATCTTCAAAATGAACGCGTTTAACTAGAACTAAAAAAATAGTTAAAATGTATGTAAAAATACTTTTTGTTGATGGTTTTTTTTCAATATAATCTTACCTTTTGTTTGCCACAAAAGATTTTTTGCTTCAACAACTAATAAAATAAGAAAAGCTTATAGCTACAATGAATAACTATGTCACCGAGACAGTCACACAAATCTGATAAAATGGTGTCATGAGATAAAATGGTGTCATGAGATAAAATGGTGTCATGAGATAATATGGTGTCATGAGATAAAATGGTGTCATGAGATAAAATAGGGTTATGAGATAAAAGTGTATCATGAGATAAAATGGAGTTATGAAAATTGAGTTTTGAAAGTTCTTACAGCTGCTGTATTTATGTGGTTGTCTTGAAAACAGATTCAAGTAATTTAATGGTGTGATTTATTAGAAAAAAAGTAATTTTGAAAAATCTTATGCTAAAAAGTAATTCTACTATTTTAGTTTACCTTTAACAGTGACTTTGTGTTCACCAGATGCTGCATAAGTAAACAAGTCAATTTGAATATCAATCTCACCAACACACCCTTCTGCAGCAAAAGCACCTAAAAAAAATCAGAATAAAGTTAAATTAATTTTATTTGTTTTGTGTATTAACAAATTTTTTGGTCTCATACAATAAAGTTACTTTGTTGGTCTTGAGTTTCAATAAACGTCTTAATAAGTGAGTCTGTAGTTTGAGAATATAGAGACAAAGCATAATGAAGTGATTTGATATCAGGACTTTTTTCTAAGAATGATTTTTTCAAACCGTCACCACGTGCATGAAAAAAATTCTAATAAAAAAAATTAAAAATAAATTACTTAAAACTAAATTTTTTGCAAAAAAATAAAAATAAACAAATTATGTTAACTTTTAGAAAAAAAGATTAAAATAAAACCAATCAGATATTATTTTACCTGAACAATTTCTAAAACAATTTCTAATATTTTACACTGACGAGGGTTAAGATTGTGAGAGTCTGCTTGAACACCATCCTTATAAATATAAAATATATATATATATATATATATATATATATATATATATATATATATATATATTGTTGTTTTGATTATTTGATAATAATCAACTCTTTTTCGATTTGAGAGTGATCAATATAAAGTGAAATAATCACAAAATAGATCAATAAATAAATAAATAAAAGGTTATATGAGAAAAAACAACTTTTTTACGGTACTTAAAGTTTCATGCCGTTTTCGGCACTCATCAGCCATATATTCTGATGATATGGCTATATGGCTGATGAGTGCCAAAAACGGCATGAAACTTTAAGTACCGTAAAAAAGTTGTTTTTTCTCATATAACCTTTTATTTATTTATATATATATATATATATATATATATATATATATATATATATATATATATATACACGGAAAAAAAGCGCAAAAAAACTTTATGTTGAATTTGTGTTAATAAGTGGTTGTTTCTCTTTCATTTCATTGGTGGAAATCGAGGATTGAGATATGACTAAACTCACTGACCAACAAAAGAATTGTATAGCTTTGATGATTAACAAAGCATTTGAAGAACTAAAGGATGACTTTCAAGTTAAACTAAATCAAAAAACTAAACTATTTGAAGTGAAATTAAAGGAAAAAGATGCAGAAATAGCTGAACTTAGTGAGAAAGTAAAAAGACTAGAAGAAAACAATGCAAATTTACCACCTTCTAGTTCACCAGCTGTTTGTTACAGCCAAATTGCTAAGCAACTAGCCAAACCAGGTTCTGAGCTGTATAATGCTAGCATCAAAGTGTCAAAAAGTCATGAAATATTATCCAGTAAAAGGTCTAAAAATGTTGTAATTGTTGGTTTGCCTAACTCACAAAAAACTATAATCGAGGATCGCAAGACAGATGACGAGAACATGGTCAACAAATTAATACGTTCGCTGAACAGACGAATAATAATAAAATCAACATTCAGATTAAAATCTAATGTTCTCTTGGTAAACAATGCATCTGAACCGTTAGTTGTCGAATTTAAGAATGAAGTAGCACAAAACGAGATGCTGGCCGCAGCAAGGGAACTGTCAACTATTGAGGCCTACAAAAAAGTATATGTACGGCCTGACCACACTCCTAATGAGTAGGCTGAATTTGCACAATTAAATAAAGAGAGAAAGGAGGATATAACTGGATTGAAAGTTTTCTTGCAAATAAGAAACAAAGAGTTGCTATTAGTAATACAGTTTCAGAATGGGTATCAGTTACCAGTGGCATGCCTCAGGGTTCCGTTTTGGGTCCAATGTTGTTTCTGCTATTCATAAATGACCTCCAAGAAGTTGTGCTAAACACATTTAAAATGTATGCTGATGATAGCAAAATAATAGCCATAGAAGATTCCATTGATAAACAAGTGGTAATACAAACCGACCTTGACAACATTGTGAAATGGTGCAACAATTGGGGTATGGAACTAAACTGCAAAAAATGTAAGGTGAGGAGATTCGGCAATCAGAAAGTTTTTCGAGGTATTGATAAAACATACACAATGAATTTAAATGGAATGATTTATGACCTCTCAAACAGTGTATTAGAAAGAGATCTAAGTGTTTTTGTACAACCGGATATGAGGTGGAAGCATCAAATGCAAGTGTGTGTTAACAAAGCTTTAAAAATACTGGGATTATTGAAAAATGCCTTTGAAAGTAGAGATTGTTATATGTGGAAAATTTTGTATACTACTTATGTGCCATCTCATCTTGAATTTGCGGCTCCAGCATGGAGTCCTCCGAATGTGGCAGAAATCTCAATGCTTGAAAGAGTTCAACGTAGGGCCACAAAAACACCATACTCAAACCGAACGTTAAGTTATGAGAAACGGCTAGTTAAAATGGATTTAATTAATTTAAATCTCAGAAGAAAACGAGGAGACTTTATCATTTATTTAAGATATTAAACAATCTAGAATTTAATGTCAAACCAGTCTATAAGTCAATCATTAAATTAGATGGCCCATGTTCTTCCATTAGAGTTCTCAAACATAAAATTAGAATGCAGTGTTTTACTCCTCGTGAAATAAATGACTTTCATGCATCGGTTAGCTCCAGAATCCATTTCTTCACAAACAGAGTTTGCCAAATTTGGAACAAACTTCCGGAAAAAGTTGTAGATTCTGAGAATTTGAATAGTTTTAAAGCAAGTTTAGACGAATGGCTTAAGAAAAATAAGAAAATATTAATTTAAAAGAAAAAGAAAAAAAAAAAAAAGTACTGGGCTGCTATAGCTGAACGTTACAACATCTCAGCTTGTGGATAAGATCCACGCAGTTTACCACTAACTAACTAACTAACTATATATATATATACATATATATATATATATATATATATATATATATATATATATATATATATATATATATATATATATATATATATATATATATTAGGTGTGTCATATTGTTTTTTTCTTCTGGATTGAAAACCCTGTATTCTAAAAACTTGTATTTTTATATAACATTACTAAAAAAAGCTTAGATAAAAAAATCAGACATGATTAAGCACTGGGAATCGTGATTTAGGATTCATTTAAATTCGCAGAAAATTTCTTACAAGAATAGCAAATATTTGCTTGTAGTTGTATATTTTTGAAGACTTAAACTTTTTTTTTCCTCTTTTTTATTTATCTATTATTATTAAAACTTTTATAGGAGTTTCTATTTATAATCATTTATCTATTTAGTTATCTATTTAATAAAAGAAGAACTCTTTTTATTATAATTTTTTTAACAAAACAAAATTTACATTTTTTTAATTTTCAGGCCTTCTCGTTAGAGGCGTGCGGTTGCACGCCTTATATGACCACGCATAAATTTCTTTGTTTTAACAACTTGACTGCAGCTCTTTGCAAGTTTTGATAATTAGCGCGTTTAAAAAAAACATAGCAAATTAAAATTAAAATAAACAATCCATAAACTGAAAAGAGAATAAAATCCTTAAAATAATATATAATACAAAAATTAACCTAACAAAACAAAATATTCAAAGAATGATAAAATAAATAAAGGTAAAACCAGAAAAAAAAATCAAAACATTTAAATAATGTAAACTTAATAGTAAACAAAAGTCAAAAAAAAAATTATCACAGCTCTAATAATCTTTATCATTCCTTCCCATGAACACCTAGGCTAATACAAGAGCAAATCCATTGTGAGGGAAAGAGTCCCCCCCTCTCTCCTCAGATTTTTTATTTATTTTTTTAGAAATTGATGTTTAAAAACGTAAGTAACTTAGGCTGTTTAAAAGTGTCATGAAATTTAATAAAATTTTGTGGTGCAAGTTTAAAATTTAGTTGAAAAATTAATAGGATGGAGGGTGCGACAAATGGATAAAAGTGCACGGATTTCTTAAAAGACAGACAGAAAAACAAACATCACGTTTCTTTAATTTTGCTTATGCAAACGTTGCAGTTTGATTAGGATTTTTCAAAACCAACGTATCACTTCAGTAATTTTTTTCAAAGTAATTTTGCGATCATTAGTTTTTTATTTATTATAAAAAACACATATTTAATATGAAAAACAATTAATTTTACAGACTTAAATTAATGCCAAAACATAAGTACTTTTTTCAATAGCGTCACTTTTAAGTAAAATAACTAAATACGCTTTAGAAAAAAGTAATTATGTTTTAGCATGGTTTTTGCATGCGCTCACAAATGCATACATAATTTTACTTAAAATGAATGCTTTTGCCAAAACTTCAAAAGAAACCATGCTCAAACATTTTGATTGCTTTCTTTTATTGAGAAAAGCGGTCTAACGTTTAATGATGGTTTATTTTATGTTTTTAGCAATTACATTAAAAGTTTAAAGTAAATGTATTAATTATAAATAAATTTTAGCACGCTTTTTTTAAAATTTTCTTATTTTCCATAAAGTGAAATAATGTTTGTTTGCATATTAAAACTTTTGCACTTTTAAAAATTTTTGTTATTGTGCATTTATCATTAATTTGCGTGCACTTTGCAAATGTATAAAAAAAGGTTTTTGAAAAATAAAAAATAAATAAATTTGCCAAGCATCTTTGATATATTTAATAACTTATTAACTAAATAAAAATTATTTGAATTTTATTTGACATAAATCTCTTAAAATAGACGTTTGTAAATAAATAAAAACAAGTCAACGTTTATTAAAAAAAAAAAAAGTTAAAAAATAGTAGGCAGATGCGATTGTTTCAAGATATTTGTAATTCCTTTTTTTTAGTAAACAATTTCTTAATTAGAAATTTTATTTCCATGATAAAATGGTTTGTTATTATTTTTTGAAAAGCTTCTGTACTCATTTTGCCTTACACTCTAATCTGAATATTTTTTTCAATGATTGCTTTTAATTAAGATGCATTAAAGTACTCAGGCATTTTTGTGGGAGTTTAATTGTAATTATGGAATCAATTAAATTAAAAATCGCATTTGTTTTTTTTTAGCGCATTTTTTAAATGTGCTAATTATCAAAACTTGCAAAGAACCGTGGTCAAGTTGTTAAAACAAAGAACTATATGCGTGGTCATATAAGACGTGCGATCGCACGCCTCTTACGAGAAGGCCTGATTTTTGTCATTAAAATCAAATCTTTTTTTTGACCAACTAGTAGATATCAACTGTCTTGATAAATCCCTCTTATAAAACCATCCTGTTATTCATGAGTATAAACTTTCGTTGCTGCTTCTGTTACCTGTTTAACTCACATTTCAATTGACTGCCCATGACAAGGCCAAATTGGAACATCCATAGTTTGAAATATAATCTGTTTTACTTCTTCTGTTGTCAGATCAAGTAAGGATTCAGTTAATTAGCTGTATAAGTGTTGTTGCATCAGTTGATTGATCAGTTGTTTAAAAGTTGTTGCATCAGGTACGGTACTTCTAGAGTTATTCTAGCTCTCCCATTTTTATCACCAGTTTGAAGTTTTCGGTCACTGGGGCCTCTGATTTTTACAATTAACTCTATACCATTCTTTCTTTCCTCTACATTCTATGAGCAAAGCATGGCCTGTGTGACGGACTAAGAGAAAGCATGCCATGCTGAACGTCAAACTGTTGCATAAAAATTGCAACTACTTCACTTGATTCATGTTTCAGAAGGCTAAGCTGCTAAAGAATGTGTCTTGGTCCTTCAGTAAACTTGTGTTCAACTTTAATTTCACATAAGCATGTAAACTCCCACAACAAACTCAATTATTAATTTAAGATTTTTTAAATTCTTGCCTTTCAACTCATGTTTTGAAATCCAAACTCTGCAAAGTCTGTTGGAAGTTGTCAACCATCTAAAATGATTAACTGGCCCAATTTCAAGTAAAACCAAGTCTGCGGGTATATTTCCACTTCTAAAGGCAGAGACTATTTTATACCCATAAAACTAATTGGAGAACAAATTATTGATTACTCCATCCTTTAGAGTAATGGGAGGATTTCCAACATCAATTTTTTTAAAGGATGGATTAATTTTCAGAGCAGTTACATCATTTAATAATTTTCCAATACTGCCTTTTGTTACTGTTCCTTCTAAAACTGCCTTTATTACTGTTTAGAGTCTCTCTATCGAGAGTTGTCATCAGATGACTTAAAGGAAATCACCTGTATGGAGTGCGCAATCCACCCAGTATAGCTCTCTTTTTAACCACCCAGTATAGCTTTCTTTTTAATTTCACTTCCAGCATTGTATTGCTAAACCTGACCACCTTGTGATAACACAAGTAGAAACAGACCTATTGTCTTTAAGCTTTTATCAGTACCATTATTTTTAAAAAATTCATATATATTCTAGTTAATTACTTCAGAGTGTTTTATATGTTTTGGAATTTTTTTAAAAAAGAGCCCGGTAATAGGTATCTATCACCAGGCTCTTGACATACTGAATGTTCCTCTTTGATTGTAGCAGGACAATATTTAGTAGAAACTTTAACTACTAACTGAACTTTTGTAGTATCAACTCTACCATAAAAAAAACAAAAACACAATCAATAATGCTAGTCCTGCATTGTGTCAAACTCTAAAGAAAGAGACTGCAACTCGCTTGACTTTATTGTGATCAATAACTAACTTGGTATCATCTTCCTTATTAATTCTTGCATCTATCCAAGCTGCAATTACAACTGTTTCATTACAATTGCAACTGTTTCTTGTAAGCTGTACCACATCGTATGCTTGCTAAAACTATGTTGGAAATAATCTCATAATTCCTTTGTCCTCATAAACGTTCCCTAAACTTCATTTTGTCAACACATTAAGTTGAGTTCAGTTTTGCTGTTTGTTATGCAACATTCATTACTAAATAGATCCTCTATTTTGCTAATTCAAATTCGAACCCCTCTTCCTGACTTCTAATTGTTTGTTGCAGTTCTTCAGACGCTTTTTATTTTAATTATAGATAAAGTAAGTGAATTTTCATTAAATAATATTTTGTAAAATACTTTAAGTACAAGTAGTATTAATTATATATTTTTTATCTGTTATGTCTTAACATAAGTAAAATACAAATAGTTTCATGTCAAAAGTTTATCTTGAATTTAATTAGATTTTGTTAGTCGAAATAGACAGATATTTGTAATCCAACTAAAATCAATTTTACATAGGAGTTTAATTAACTTTTATTTGTTAACTAATAATTAACTTAAAACATAACTAATTAAAAAAGTCTTACTTCTTCCTATAATCTTTTTTCTCCAACTTTATGTGGCTTTTTGTTTTCTTTCAAGCTTGCTAATCTTATTTGATGTGTACCGGTAGTCCCTATTTTAGCTCTTTGCCCAAGAATAAAAATTAACTTTTTTTATAAACTTTTTTTTCTTTTTGCATGTGCAATTAATGTGGGCTTCATAGTTACATTCTGACGAACAGTTTTTTTTCTTGACAAGTAATAATTTGGCAATTACAATTCAGTATATCAAACAATTTGTCAAGTTTAGCCACAAATCTATCTTTATCCTTTGAGCTTGCAACCAGATTGGCAGATTCCCCTAGCAACCAGATTGTATTCCAATCATCCACCAAACTCCCAGTAATATAATGTTCGACATGTGTTACAGGATATACAAATAAAGTATTTGTGTGCATCTTTTTACCAATCAGCTTTAAGTAAACATTATTCATTAAGAATTTTATTGGATAATTTCTTTTATTTTTATTGTTTCTTTTTTTGTATAGAATTGGCAACTTCGATACAAGAAAATCTGTTCCAGAACCTATATATTCCAAAAGCTTTGATCTGCTCCTTTTTCTAGTTCTTGATGATATTGACTCTGCCATGATTAAATAGCAAACTTCATAATTTGAAAAGGTTTTATGCAAATGTAGTTTTTTTTAAATAATATATATTTTTTGACATATTAAAATAATATAAAAACTATTAGTTTGACAATTTATAAACTGGTAACTTTTTACAGTTTTAATATCATACATCACACAGAAAACTCAAAGTGAGTGGGTATAAACAATTACTTGCGTTTAAAAATGCGTGGATGCAAAACAGTATCTGTGGTTAGGGTCAAAGCTAATTACGAAAAATTTTTATAATTATGCAATTTTAAAACACACTTCCCAGTAGCTTATCATATTTTTTAATTTTTTTTTGGTTTCAGTTTTAAATTAGTTGTGACACACTCTAATACATGTAAAACAATGTATATATATTTATAGTATTACTTACAGGGACAGATCTTACAAAAAAACAATGCTTACGTGTACATTAGAATTATCAAGGACATTTTTGTGTACCAATTAATTTTTTGTCCCCATAAGCATCTTATTTAGGGGAAAAAAAAGTCCCCGTAAGCAACTTTTATAAAGAACAAAAAGTAGATACATCGACAAACAAATAGCCATACTTGCAAGGGAGTGCTGCTACATCAACTGAGGGTTGGTTTGGGTCAGCATCAAGGTCAGGCGTAGGGTTAGGGTAACGGCAAGGTTTAAATATGGTCATACTACAGTAATTAATCGTTTTTGTAAATATAAATATGGTCAATGGTCATACTACTGTAATTAATCGCTTTTGAAATATAACATATAATAAATACAAATAACAAAATTAAATTTAAAAAACATATTTTTATAATAAAATAATAAATTTAAATATGCATAAATAAAAATAGAAAATTAAAAAATATATATAAATATAATAAAAATAATAATAAATATATATACAACGGGAACAAAAAAAAAAAAAGTCCCAGTAAACGCTGACTAGGAGTATATATATATATATATATTATATATTATAGGAGTATATATATATATATATTATATATTATAGGAGTATATATATATATATTATATATTATAGGAGTATATATATATATATATATATATATATATATATATATATATATATATATATATATATATATATATATATATATATAATATATATATATATATATATATATATATATATATATATAACCTTCGGAACTTTGGGTTGGGATTTGGCAATGCTGGTCTAACTGCCAACCTTCAAGTGTTCGAGGTCGGCAAAAAATCAAGTCGGTAAAGATCAAAGTTAGTTAATTCAAACGGCTTTCAAAAAAGTTTTTTTTTCTTCTCAAAAAAAACTTCAATGATTCTTGTATGAAGTTTATTAGAGACCTTCGCTTATTAAAGTCTAAAATTTAAAAAAAAAAATTTTTTAATAACTTTTACTTTTTTAATTTAACTTATAAAAAAATCTTATATAATTAAATAATATAAATAAAGAAATATACAAATTTCAATGATAATTAAAATCTTTATTTGAAAAGTGTTTTACTATTATAAAAATGTTAGTAAAGATAAACGCGTCAAATTTATTTATTTTCAACGTAATTAAAAAACCATTTTTTTAGTTAAAAGTCGTGGTTAAATTATCATGACAAAATATTATTTGCGTGGTCATATAAAGACTTTAAATCGGCCAAGCATATATATATATATATATATATATATATATATATATATATATATATATATACATTACCCAGGTCACTGATTCCCTGATTCTGTAATACATACAATTACTAATAGGTAAATACATTTACTTACAATAGGCAGAGGAGGTAACACGATAACTTTCTCTATGCTGTTCATCACCATCTTCCATAACTCCTAAGATAAAAAGATAAACCAAAATATTTAACATTTAAAAAAAGGTTTAATCTTTAAGATTTAGTTCTTTAAGAATCCTTTAGATGTAATTTAAAATTAACATTACCTTTAATAATCTTTTTAAAACAGGTTTTTCACAATACTTTGCATATGTAGGAAAACTAAAACACAATTAAAAGTTCAACTTTAATATCATTGATATGTGTGTGAGAGGGCATTAAATAAATCTAAAGATCTCCAGATAAAAACAAAATTTAAATCAACAGTAAAATAAATCATAACAATTTTTTGTTATGAAAGTAATTATTTTTTTAATTGATTTCAGGCTTATAACTTGCTTACCATTAAAAATGTTATCAATGTCTGAAACTTGATTTCAGACTAAAATCTGAATAACATTAAACCAAAAAATTGTTGATTAAAATTAAAAAAAAAGGAATGTAGCTTGATGTTAGTATAAAATATTTTTGAAAAAAAAAAAGAGTACTTTTCTTCCATAAAAACAAAAAGAGCGTGCATGACATCCTCAGCATCTTTTTCAAGAAGTTGTTTTTCCATATTTGACATATTGTTAGATCCCACACCTTTAATTCTGAAACAATTTTATTTATAAAAAATATAAAAAAATAATCATATAAAAATATAAAAAATATTTTACATATAATACAAAACACTGTTGTTAATTTTTTACCAAAACTTATATTAAAGAGATATAAAAACTCTAAAATTTTAAAAAGCTTTTATCTTATTAGTATCTATTATCTCTTTAACATCTATTTATAAAGCTAAATTTTATCTCTATAAACTTTTATTAGAAACATGACAAAAATATTAAGACACATTTAAAGAATTGACAACAAAAAATTTTTTACTTGATCAACTGTACATTTAACAACTTGCAACATTCTTGAATTTTCTCAGAAACACTGAAATTTAAGAGATAATTAAAATAATACAAAATACCATGTTTCAAAACACCTCACATGTACAAAAAAAAAAAAGAGCTGATATGATAAAATAGCTAGGAGCATCTTTAATTTTTTTTTTTTTCAACTATTAATATAAACTTAAAGTCAAATTAAAATTAAAAAAATAAGCAATTAACACAATAAAAGATTAAAAGTTTAAACCCATTTAAACTAGATACAACATTTTATTTTCTGTTCATTTTTAGAATAGTAATAAAAATAATATTAATAGCAAAAAATAATGATAACAATAAAAATAATTATAATAAATATAATAAAATAGCAAAATTAATACAAGTTATAGAAATATTAATAAAATATTACAACAATAACAATAAATTAAAAAAAAAATTAAATTATAATGAATATTAATATAATATTATTTGTAACAATTATTTAAAATAATAAGTTAATGATTTATAAGGATGGTGTCACTCATACACAAATCTGATAAAAGGAGTGATACCATATATTTAAACATAATATGACTAATACTAGGCATATAAAAAGAACATACATTTAAAAAAATGAACATGAAGAAATCATATTTTGCAGGTAATAATAAAAAAAAAAGAAAATCAAATGAAAAAAGAATATTTGTGGGATGTTTGGACTTGATGATTTTTTTGGAATTCCTTTTATAATCCATTGTTTAAATTGGTATTTGAAATTTATAATACTTTTTATATGAAGC